TTCAGCCCACGCAAGCTTCACCCAAATAAGATTTCACTGCAGCAAAGAAAAAAGAACAATATTCCACGTCGCAATGACTCTGAGCAACAAAGGTGCATAAGTGGTGCGATTTTTTAGCGGTGAAAGAGATGAAATGCCAGACTCGTGTGACTCTTTTTTTCGTATGCATGGCAAGAACTAAAGGCTGGATCAGAATTGTGCGACATGGGCACTCCATGGTAAATGGGGATATACTGAGTATAGTGCTGTAGAGAATCGCCTGTACAACCACGCAGCATTTGTAGCCAACAAATATCAATGGACAATTTCTACCTCAGACAGATGGTTTTGTGATGATAATGAGAACTACAACCTGTCAACCGGAGATTTTTGGAAAATCTATGTTTGTTGAAACATTGTCACGGAGGGCTGTCTCTGAAATGAAGTTGACGCAGTTGCATCCTGATAGCGAGTATTTAACGCACAGTCAGAGCTTGATTCCACTGACGATGTCCGTGAAAAAGGAACCCGGACCATGGCCAATTTTCATAAAGAATGCACCTATCGTGTACTAGTTAAACTCTTGTTAATGTTGTAGAAATAAGCCTAATAGCGAAGTTATCTAGTCTGCTCATCCGACTTATTTGCATTTACTTGAAATGCGAAACGCGTAAACTAAATCATTGCAAATGATTAACTAGAAGGAAAAGTATTAAAATTTCTCGTGCGACTGAAATCTTTTTTTAGCATTTTGTGGTATTTATCCAGACTATATTGTATGCTGGCATATCTGAGTTACAATTTTGGCCCACACGTAGTAAAAAAAGGTAAACCTATATAACTTAAGAAATAAAATACTATGACGGTCATCGAACTCCGTCTACAAAAACACGAATAGAATGCATTTTAAATTGGTGTACTTAAACCTCTCGTTAAAACCGAAGTAGTCACATCAGCCAAAGAGAAAAACAAAAAATATCACGAGGAGCCGATGAGAACTCAAGATAAAAACAAGCAATTTGCTTGAAGGAGGGAAAGGGCGAATGACCAAGTCGTGCATAGGTTTAGCTTTAATTCTAATTGGTCGAGAAAACGCCGCGAGTTTTCACACCAATCACAGAGCGGAGTGATGCAGAACCTGCACAATTCCGGAAGCAAAAGTAATATCGCGATAACAACCATGGGACGCGTAGAACCCGTATTTAGACAAAAGTTAAATATCTAATTTCCAAAATTAGAATTACAACTGTAATTTGTGTAAAATAAAAGCGCGCGACATGTCCACATACGCTTTTGTGACGTCAGTTGCGTGTAATAGTGCTACACTTAAGTCGCACGTCTGCTAACGTCTGCTAATTTCGAAAGAGAGAAAGTTTCACAAAAATTTTTCAGTGGCCATGGCTTCTCAAAACGCAGGTAAGTTTAAAAAATTCTTCCCTGAAAGTCCACGATGAGCGGTTCTGACTGTATGTATCGAGATCGTAGCGAACTATGGAGAATGCTTTAACAGGCTGATCCAGTGCGGTTTATATATTTTCATCTTCAAAACAATGAAAGGGCTGCATGTTCGACGCAATAATCTTGAAAAGCTTTTAGCAGGATTTCAATCATTGTTCGTGAAATAGGTTTATCATTATTGAACCGATCTGCATGAGGCGCAAAAATAGAGGACGTTTTGAAAATAAACGGGAGGAACGGAGATAACTTTCTTGGAATTCTTTGCAAAATTGAAACATTTGAATAGTGTTGGACTAAGTATGTTGCTCGTGATGCTTCAATTTTTTTTTTTGTTTTTGTCATATATGACTGAAGATTGCGTTTCCGGGCTAGATTTTCTAACCATTTGTTAAATGTTAAGTTCGTTGTAACCGTGGCTGTTTACAAAACAAACGGTTTGGGCGCGTGCAACTGTTGGCGTTAGCGCCACTTCGAGTAACTTTCGTCATACCGATCTTTAGTTATCACGCTGCCATTAAGGCGGCTGAACACACTTTTTGCGCGCGCTTTTGCTGATGCAATTCAGCGCGCGCACAAGGCATGCAAAAAACAACCATGCTGTCAATAGAGNCTCTAAACTCTGTTAAATTGTTAGCAAAATGGCGTTAACTTGTGAGTATCGTTACAAACTCGTTGCATGCAAATTGTAAAGAAAACATAATGACTAGATTTTCTGCAAATACACAAAACCGATTTTAAAGGCCTGTTTATATTTATTCATGTCACCATGGCAACGGCACATACGTCAGCTTAACTATGAAAAATACAAAGTTTGTGTTCTTAACTTGCTTGCTGCCTGTTTTGGGGACCGAGAGATCAAGGGTGTCAGAGAAAATGGTGAAAGAAACACAGGTATCAAAAACTGTGTTCAGCCACCTGAAAAAAGATCACGTGGTCGTGTGGCGAATGCGACAGTGAACTTTTATTAATCAGTTACATAGCTCCCCTAAATGAGAATAAGAAACCTTCATTTCTTAGCTACGATTGTGATATTTTGTTTATAATCTGTAATATCTACGACCGTCTTATAAACCATGAACACTTTCCTGTCACAGACTCTGGCTGAAAATTTGACTAAGCTTCATAAGGATATGAAAGTTTTCCGCGTAGATGGAACATCAACGAATAGCGAGTTTTCATGTTTATAATGAAAACAATTAATGATTTTTATTACTGCCTTTTTTATTTCTTAGATCCCCGTCAAAGTCAAGAAGAACTTGAAAAACTTCTCTCCGCTTTGGAGGAAGACAATAGGGTAAAAACATAACTTTTTCATCTTCCAAACAGCACTAAGTATGAGAACCTTCAACTAAATGTGAGAATTCACTTAAGTTTTCTGCGTACAAAACTTCGAACTACAATGTTCTCCTCCTGTTTGGAGCCTTAGACTTCTCGAAGACTTCATTCACAGCGAAATTTTGTATTTAATTCAATCAAGCATGTACATTCTTGCACCTTAATAGACGACGATGGAGTCGAGCCTCTGTATCTACATCGATAGTCAATCGTTTATTTATCTATTAATTTTCTGTTTGCCTGTTAATGTTTCCTCATCTTCCACTAACCCTCTGTGCGAACGCGCGCACAGCCTTAACTTTACGAATCTGAAAGTGCCTCACACGAAAAGTTTTGGAAGTTAAAAGAAACAGTATTTCTGGATCACGATTGAAATTATTTGAACTACTAATACTTAGTAAACTTTTTGCTCTTAAATTCAGAAATTGGAGATAGATCTGAGTGCTCATAACAAGAAAATCGTCAACATATCGGCATTCCGTGCGTGAGTAGTAAATAAATGATGCAAATAACTTATTCATTAAAGAATTCATGGTTAGTTTTGCATACCGTCCCAGACAATATTAAAAGCTACTTTGCAGAATTTCTCCTGAAACAATTAACAATTAGATTGAGAGCTCGAAATTTCTATCGCGTGATATTTCCAGTTTTAGTCCCATTTCGATAGATATTTAAAATCAACCAAATTATAATCTTCTTCTCTCAAAGTTTTCCCATCGTCCTCAAGAAACTTGATAAAACGGCTTTTTTCGATTTCAGGGATACTAGACGTGCTATGGCCGAGGAGTTAGTGAGACTTGAGACGGAAAGAGATAATTTACTGGTATGAGATAATCATTGTTGATGCTGCCAGTGTATGATTGCCAATAGGCGGTCTAGTTAGTAAAACAATGCTACTGAAATTACTTAAACTGTGGAGATACGCACATCGTATACTGTATTGGGAAGACTATAGACGAAGTGGCAGCTGCGTTAAATCAATCCCGAAAAGAGTTGTATGCCTGGTGCGTGAAGAACAGGCTAACGCCACACCCAAAGAAATCAGAATGTATGCTAATTTATAGAGGATCGTTCACTGGCCCTCTACCACCGACATACCTCAGAGGTAACAACTTAGAATGGATTACACATAGTTGACTTTTGGGTGTGACCATCGATCACAAGCTTGGCTGGTCCACTCATATAAAGGAACTGACGAAGAGTTTCGCTAATAAACTAAGCCTTATAAAGAAGAGCAAATTCTTACCTAAACAGGATCTCTTAAACCTGTATTTTTAAGTTATAATAGGA